AAGATTTTTAATAATATGCAAGCTGATCCTCTTTTTCATTGCAACAACTTCTATGAAAAAGTTTCAGTTCTTTTTTCTCCCTCTCAGGACGGTAAAATGCAAATTACGCCAGAAAATAAATGAACGACTCTTTTGCTAATTATTGTTTCAGTTAATTTCATCGTCTCATTCCTGTTCATTGCATTGTGAAGGTCCTGCCATGTCCCTGAGCAGGGCGAGGCGAAGGATGGACTTCAGTGGATGTTGAAGGGACCGAAGCGCTGTTGCCTGGTTACAGTGTTTTGGTAATTGGTCAGTTTCAGTAAATCACAGCCTCAGAGTGTAGGAGGGGAATTAGTGGCTAACTGCGCTGCTCCGGCAGCCGGGGCTCCTCTACAGGTCCGAGAGATGGAAGCGTATCATGAATTTTGAATGAGCGCCATGTGTGAGTGGGTGGCCTCCTAGGCGTGAAATTGCAGTTCGGAAAAATTTCATGGTCATTCCTTCTGTAACGCGGTGACCAGCTTCAGCGCGTCCATCTCCACGGAAACTCGGCTCGTCCTTACGGATCAGGATCCCTTACAAAAATCTGATATGCGGCCACATGTTTGTGTCTGTCTCTCTCTGTCTCCCTCTCTATATATATATATATATATATATATATATATATATATATATATATATATATATATATATAAGCTGTTTATATCGTACGAGAATTACTCACTACACATATGCATACAGTTATGATCATAAATGTGGGTAAACACCATATTCTGCCTCATATCTAACGACAGCAGCGCTGCCTGAATACATTCCTTACATGTTCAGTGTAGATTATTTAGAGCTTTGAGCTACCAGTTCTACACAATTCAGACATTAATTAAAACATAATTAATTCAGTGCAGCTCTGTGTTGTTTGAACCACACAAGCTAAAACTCACTAACTCAAATATATTCAGCAAAATAAATATGATTAGTCAAAAGGATCTGCTTTATTTTTCTCATTACTGTCACTAAACAAAACAGCTCTTCTGGCTCGATTAGAGTTTTGAGCTGTTATTTTCAGCTCTGTAATAATCTGTAATAATAATCTGTAATAATATCTCACACGTCTTTTTCACAACTCAGCTATGTACTTACACCAAAAACCATTCCGCACGCCCGGAATGATCTCACAAGGAAGGGAAGGAAAAGGCTTTGAATGGAAGTCGGAGGAAAAGGACTTTTATCCAAGCCGTTTGGGATCATTTCTATTGATCCACTGATCCTGAAACCGAGCCACCACAGTGTGAGGGACAGCTGGAGTTCAGCAACTACGGACAACAAAGCACTACAGAACAAAACGGTAAAACGGAGATCCATACCTCCTCTACAGAGGCCACACATACCACACCATATCGTCCATTTTAGTGCACAATTTAGTTTATAATATATTTATAATTTCCTCCAAACTCAGTAAATAAACAGTGAGTGTGTGTGTAAATGTGCAGACGTGTGTTCTGCATCACTACTGTTATCTAATTGATCCTCTTCTTCTTCTTCTTTATTATTTTTCTGCTGGATTTTTATCCTCTGACTCGCAGATCTCGAGATGTCCGGAATGTTTGGTCTGATCAGGGATGCGTTGCTTGTATACAGCTCTTTGATTTGACGTATGGTTTTCATACAGTCTTCATTAAATGGTGATTTTTTTCCCCAAAGGAATGACTGGGGGCAAAAGTTTGTGCACCCAGCTTATATCATGACAATAGACCAATAGCAACACCCTATTGACCACGTGGAGAACCATAGCAACACCCTAGTAACCACCTGGGATACCACAGTAAAAACCTAGCAGCACCCTAGCAACCACCTGGGAAACTATAGTAACCATTGGGCAACACCCTAGCAACCGCTTAATCACTGCATTTTACACTATTTATGTTGTTCTAAACTATGTACATATTTGATTTACTGAAGGTTTATTCATCAGTGTTCTATTCAGTCTGTCACATTAACCGTACGTGTTTGTTAAAGCCAGTAAACGAAGCCTGTATAAACAGCCTTACTCAGATCTGAGAGACTGATCAGACTGATCTCCTCTGATCTGAGAGACTGATCAGACTGATCTCCTCTGATCTGAAAGAGTAATCAGACTGATCTCCTCTGATCTGAGAGACTGATCAGACTGATCTCCTTTGATCTGAAAGAGTAATCAGACTGATCTCCTCTGATCTGAAAGAGTAATCAGACTGATCTTCTCTGATCTGAGAGACTGATCAGACTGATCTCCTCTGATCTGAAAGAGTAATCAGACTGATCTCCTCTGATTGGTCTCCTCCACAGCGCAAACCGAGTGTGTCTCAGGGCGGCGGTGTGTTGATGGTGCCGGTGGTTTGGTGTGTTTGGTGAAGTGTGTGAATGCTGAGCGTGTCTGAGAGTACGGAAGAGTACGGAAGGGTATGGAAGCGTATCTGACATCTAACAGACTCTCTGAAGGAGAGGATGGAGAGGCAGAAACAGAGTGACAGAGTGAGGAGGAGGAGGAGGAGGAGGTGTTCGACGCTTACGCTGTGCTGCATTGTTCTCCACACAGTCCTCTGGGAAAGCAGTGAGGGAAAAATAGAGAAGAGAGACGGATTTCACTGAAAGAGTAGATGAGAGAGAGAGAGAGAGAGAGTATATATATGCATTAGACAGGAAAGAAACGTGTGATGAATGGCACTGCACAGACTCTCTCTCTCCGCTTTCCCGCCGCAGAGCCCCATTTTTATTTTAAATATAAACACATTCTCCTCCACCAACATTTATTTAACTCCATTCATCTGATATCCCCCGAATTTAATAGCGCAGAGTTCATTTCAGTTTCAGAGAGAGCAGAGAAATTTCATCTCCGCGCCCAGAACGCATTAAACACTCTCTACAGAACCCGCTCAGCCTGGAAACGGGACGCGAGCACACGTACATACATACATCCATACATACATACATACATCCACACATACATACATACATCCACACATACATCCACACATACATATATACATACATACATACATATATACATCCACCCACACACACATACATCCACACATACATCCACACATACATACATACATATATACATCCACCCACACACACATACATACATACATCCATACATACATATATACATACATACATACATATATACATCCACCCACACACACATACATCCACACATACATCCACACATACATACATACATATATACATCCACCCACACACACATACATACATACATACATACATACATATATACATCCACCCACACACACATACATCCACACATACATCCACACATACATACATACATATATACATCCACCCACACACACATACATACATACATCCATACATACATATATACATACATACATACATACATATATACATACATCCACACATACATACATACATACATACATATATACATATATACATCCACACATTCACCCACACATACATACATCCATACATTCCTGTTTCCCTGTTTCCCTCTTAAACCTGTTAAATAACTCACTTTAGTCAAATATAACAAACTGGGGACTCTAACATTTACAAACTATGCTAACTTTCTGAATATAAATATGAAAATTGTATTTTTTAAAGGTGTAACAGAAAATCATGTGTATTAAGAGCAGACAGGGTCTCGCGATTTCCTTGTAAAATTCTAAAAATGTACACAATTTTAGTGACTGTGGAAAATTTCAGAGCTGTGCTGAAATTTGTTTTTTAGTTATGAATTTTTAAAAATTGCCATGCAGGTTCAAGATCAGGTTCTTAACCATTGAGTTTAATGAATGAAATGAGCTGAAATATTAACCAGATAAAATTAACAAAACTGTTTCACTTCAAATCAACAAGTCTCAATTTATAGAACGATATTATCCCAGGTTAATTTAAATGAGGGTGCGTTTTCATGTTTCATGAAATTTCATCTTAAGTGAAATATTATTTTCACTGTTGTGTTTGTACCCAGTTAATGTTCAGTCATTCTGTAAGTTGTTAAACTCAATTTAATTCAAAACCTGACAAGATTAAATAAACAAAATAGAAAATAAACATGAATAACAAGATTTTAGTTATGTATTTTTAAACTTTGCCCATATCAATTACTTTTAAAATATTGAGTTTAACAGCAAACTGAGCTGAAATATTAACTGGGTATAAACGCAAAGCTAACAATAATATTTCACTTCAGTCAACAAGTATCAGTTTCTAGAAGTTATCATTTCTTAGGTTAATTTATTTGAGGGCGCATTTTCAAGTTTTCCATGAAATTTAATCTTTGAAATTTGAAATGAAACATTATTTTCAGTGTTGTTAATATTCCAGCTCAGTCCAGTCATTCTGTTTGCAGTTAAACTCAGTATTTATGGACAATTCAGAACCTGACATGGGCAAATAAAAAAAAAAAAAAATCATAACTGAAAAATTATTTGGAGCACAGTTTTGAAATTCGGCATGTTACATGGAATTTTTCTTCAGAATTTTTTCATGGAAATCACAAGGACCATCTGTTCTTAATAGACAATTTACTGTCTGATGTGTCCAAAAAAATATAATTTCCATATTTATTTTTCACAAATTTATAGAAATTTATATAGCAATACCTACATTTAGAGTCGGTTATTCATTCAGCCTAATGAGAAACTGTAGAACAGACTCAGTTTATATCACAATACCTACATCTAGATTCAGTTTCTCAGTAGTTTGTATGGGATTCGTATAAAGCTTGTCCAGTCTCGTGTCAGTAGCTCAGTAAGGCTTGGGCGGGTCAGTAGACATAGCTGTAAAATGCTGTTGGAGATGTCAGTGTTTGGATTAGTTCTGCTTTATCTGGGAGGAAAACAGAACAACATGCTCGCTCTTCCATAAACAGCCCACTTACACATATTTTCACTCTATTATGGAGCCATAAAGCAGCACTATAATTACAGCCCACTCTATTTCTGAGTTTACGTCCAGAACACACAAACACAGACATTCAGACTGACCAATCTGTCCAGGCTGGTTCCGGCCGCTGTGGTCGGCCTCTCCTCGGGGCTGTAGGGCCTGAAGCGAGCGTTGAAAACGTCTGAAATCCCACGGGCACTGCGGCTTATTCCGGCCGGTTTGGGGTGACCGCAGCCCTGGAACACCTACAATTACACACACCGGAGGAATTAGTGACTGCTTGTGTACACATTCAGTGTAAAAACATCCCAAAACATCCCAAACCATAAATACAGATCAAACCTGCAGTCCCAGTTTCATGATAATTGGTCAAACAGAAGTGCTTCAAACATACTTGGAATAAAACCACATTGTATTAACCTGGATTTAAAGTTTTCGGTTTCTCCTGTAAACTTACTATTTTGAAGATATTTGTGTTTCTTTGGACAGTGACTATATATATATATATATATATAAATATATATACACTATACTGCCAAAAGTATTCGCTCGTCTGCCTTCACACCCAAATGAACTTGAGTGAAATCCCATTCTTAATCCATAGGGTTTAATATTATGTCGGCCCACCCTTTGCAGCTGTAACAGCTTCCACTGTTCAAGGAAGGCTTCCCACAAGGTTTAGGAGTGTTTATGGGAATTTTTGACCTTCTTCCAGAAGCGCATTTGTGAGGTGAGACACTGATGTTGGACGAGAAGACCTGGCTCACAGTCTCCGCTCTAATTCATCCCTAAGGTGTTCTATCGGGTTGAGGTCAGGACTCTGTGCAGGCCAGTCAAGTTCTTCCACACCAAACTCGCTCATCCATGTCTTTATGGAGCTGCTTTGTGCACTGGTGCGCAGTCATGTTGGAACAGGAAGGGGCCAAACTCCCCAAACTGTTCCCACAAAGTTGGGAGCATGAAATTGTCCAAAATCTCTTGGTGCTGAAGCATTAAGAGTTCCTTTCACTGGAACTGAGGGGTCGAGCCCAACTCCTGAAAAACACCCCCACACCATAATCCCCCTCCACCAAACTTTACACTCGGCACAATGCAGTCAGACAAGTACCGCCAAACCCAGACTCATCCATTGGATTGCCAGACGGAGAAGCGTGATTGGTCACTCCAGAGAACACGTCTCCACTGCTCCAGAGTCCAGTGGCAGCGCTTTACACCACTGCATTCGACGCTTTGCATTGCGCTTGGCGATGTAAGGCTTGGATGCAGCTGCTCAGCCATGGAGACCCATTCCATGAAGCTCTCTATGCTGTTCTTAAGCTGATCTGAAGGCCACATGAAGTTTGGAGGTCAGTAGTGATTGACTCTGCAGAAAGTCGGTGACCTCTGCACACTATGCCCCTCAGCATCCGCTGACCCCGCTCTGTCATTTTACGTGGCCGACCACTTCGTGGCTGAGTTGCTGTCGTTCCCAAACGCTTCCACTTTGTTATAATCCCACTGACAGTTGACTGTGGAATATTTAGTAGTGAGGAAATTTCACGACTGGACTTGCTGCACAGGTGGCATCCCGATCACGGTACCACGCTGGAGTTCACTGAGCTCCTGAGAGCGACCCATTCTTTCACTAATGTCTGTAGAAGCAGTCTGCAGGCCTAGGGGCTCGGTCTTATACACCTGTGGCCATGGAAGTGATCGGAACACCTGAACTCAATGATTTGGATGGGTGAGTGAATACTTTTGGCAATATAGTGTACATGGGTCTTTGACATGAGTTTTTGTGTCCAAGTCCACTATTTTCCCCAAAAATCATGTAATAAATGCATGACGTGTCAAATTATATATGTGAAACAATTTTCAACAATTTTAAAATTCATTTTATTTTCTTTTTGCCTCCAAAAGCCTAATAATGTCATACCGTGTATGTTGATTGGCTAAACTATCAAAAAAAGGTAATTTAGTTATAAAATTCTAAATAAAATAGTTTGGCATGATTTTATGTTTTAAAACTTTAAAATAAAATCCATGTTGCAAAATAAGACTATTTTAAAAGCGCTCAACTCACTGAAAAACCTTTGTCCACAAGTTACTTCCTCAAACGTCAGGCAGCACGACCAAAAACGTAGGACTTTTATTGTGACATGCTTTTACGAAAGAGGGGCCAGGGCATCATAAAGAAGACCCCAAGTGACCTTCATGGTTGAACGGTCAAGTGTGATGTTTGAGTCGTGGTTAGAGCAGCTCTGTTTACCATGTCAGGTGGTCTGACCTCAGGAGGACCATAAAATGTGGAATTATTATAATGATGTTTGTTTATTTGATAAAATGTGAATAGAAAATATAAAAGTTGAAGAATAAAAGTTTCTACGGGTGTCTAAGTAGATGCCTGTTTAATTTGAAATTAGTCTGAGAGGTCAGGCGGCGCAACCAGTCAGTCAGATGGAGCAACCAGACCAGCACAGGTTAATACCTGAAACAGGTGATTAAAGCTTTGATAACACTCACTGTATTTAAGACAGACAATATACAGAGATATAAATATAAGTATTTATACAGATATAAACATGAACATCATCAATAACATTTCCTCCTGATGGTGAGTAAACACCGCCCTGATGCGTCGGCGGCTGTTTGTCAGACTGGTCACTCTGTACAGTGTGCTAAGGTAACATTAGCTTGCCGGGTGGCGTTTTGGTGCATTTTGGCCATCAGGCTGTTGATGTTGACACTTTAGCGGATGCTAACAGCCGCCTGCGTCTTCGTGTCCGAGTGACTGGCGGACAGCGGCCGGTCGTTTGAATGTCAGGCTGGGCTTTTTTCCCAGAAGGCCGTCTGTCACCAGACTCTTTCTGCTCCCTCGCCGGTGATGATCACAGCGCTGCTAGCTCCCTGTGTGAGCGTGTCATTAGCTCCTGACCGCAGAGAGCCTGCAAACTGGACAATTCATTCTGCCTTTATTCACGCTGAGCGTACACACTCTCCACACGGCACTCCGGGACGTGAGGAATGTCAGAGGGACGTCGGCTCCGCTATTTCCTCCTCATTCCATCTTCCTGAACGAGCGGCGTTTCATTTCCTGCGCTGACCTCGGTGACCGCACCGGGGGAGACGTTTCAGACCGCGCTCGTTCAGCCGGGCAGCGAGGCGTGGTGATGTACGGCGGAGGTTTAGCTGCAGGTTGGACAGTAATGAACTGCATTTACTCTCGTTACTGTACTTCAGCACGTTTTTCACTGTAACGGCACTTTAGAGTAGAGTTCAGTCGCAGCTCTTCCACTTTCGCTCCAGTTCGTCTCTAATAAAGCTACTTTAATTAAGCGTCTGAGAACCCAACATCCAGTAGTTGTGGTTCGTATAAAGCCAGACAGAATCGATTCCTCTGTTCCAGTCGACTCCAAAGCTTCAGAATCGATTCCACATGGAGAGCAAGACGCAGGACAGGTCAGCACTGCATCACGACAGTGAAGGACTTTCGTACACAGCTACCAGCCTATCAGACGAAAACGAAGCCTATTAAACCATTTGTCATAACTAGCTCAATAAGTAAGAACTCAAAGATGACCAAACGAGCTGGTCAGTCAGGATTCCTAAACCTTCAGCTCGTCTTTTTTCACTTAGCTTATAGAGGCTAAGTACCCAGACATGAACAGATTAGCTGGACAGTCCGTATCCTTAAACCTCCAACTCATCCGTCATTGTTAGCTTAACTGTACTGGCTTTTACTGCTTTACAGACGTACAATTTAGCTGTGCAGTGATTACTTAGATAACGTTATCTAGCACACAAAGAAACAGGCTAGATAACTGGCTAACTACCCAATTATGACCAGATTAGCTGGACAGTCCGTATCCTTAAACCTCAAACTCATCCGTCATTGTTAGCTTAACCGTACTGGCTTTTAACAGGCTGCTCTACAGATAACACAGTTTAGCTGTGTAATGATTATGTAGCTAACGTCACCTAGCGCATAAAATAACCAATTTTTCCTAGCTAGCTAGCTAGCTAACTGCCCAAAGGTGACCGAATGACTAGTCTTAGCAGGCTGTATTATGGAAAAGGTAGTTTGGCTTATATGAAGTGATGTTCTGCACGGTTCTGCTCTCACACACGGAATCAGGTCTAGAACCAAACCCAGCTTCAGTCTGTCTCAGCCGAGCGTGAAAATGTGAGCAAGAACACTCATTCTGTGGAGGCTAGCATAAACGCTAACAGCGTTAGCTTCTTAACTAGCTCATGTTGAACTCTTTACAAAGTACTGATTCTAAAATAAACTGATCAGCACATCAACATGGCGTCCTGGTTTACGTTCCGCGGCTCTGATTGATGTAACGGTGCTAAATCAACTCCGTCTTCATCTGGGCGAGTGAAGAATTCGCTAAGTTGTCGTTAGCTTTAGCTGTGAGTGTTAGCAAACAGAGGATCCTCAGAGGAGCTAATACTGCTTATAGCAGCTCTAACCTGCTTTAGAAAGCTGGAGAACCAGAAAAATGTCAGTGAAATACATGAACTACTCGCTACATTTGTTGTAATTATTAAGTATTGATAATAATTATGTGCCATAAGTACTTATACGTTTTTATATTATGCATTAACCCCTTTTATTTCTGCTCATTTGCACTTTACAAACTCATATACTTGTATTTTATTACATCCCTACATTTTACATTATATATTCTTCGTCCCTTTTTTATATATTCTTACATTTTCTATTTTATAGTCTGTCTTTCATGGAAAGGACAACTGTTTAAACCTTTAACTGGACATCATATATAGTGTATGGGGCTGTGTGTGAGCAATAAAGCTTAATTTAATTTAATTTGATTTGGAATTGATCATTACAGCCTCACACAACAAGATCTGACCGTTACGGTCAATGTTGATGAATGATGAATTTACTGCACATTGCATTGTAAATTGAGCCTGACTGGATGTGAGTTATCCACTCTGCTATACAGCCAACGATTACAAACACTCTGATTTGGTCTGTTCTGCTGTCATTATCTAGAACAGCATTTCCTAAACTGTGGGTCACCAGTGTGTTTGTGCTGGCTCGTCACACGATGTGGAACGTTTTCAGGGAAAAAAAAAAAACTCAGATCAAGTTTTGAAAGTGTAAACACACAGATCTTTCCCAACGCTGTGTGGTGTAAACTGTACTATTGGCTCCTAGAACTCAGTGTAGCAATAACGTTCTGCTTGGGTCCCAGCTTGAAAATCGTTCTCTTGTCTGGGTCAAAGAGTTTAAGAACTCCAGTTCTAGACAGTCTTTCTGAAAATCCCATCCACAGCTCACGTGTTGACAGTCCTGCTGTATTTCACTTTAAATAAAGTGGAAAACGGTGTAAAAAGAAAAAAATCATAATGAAAATTTGGTTTTCAAGCAAACAAGTGCTGACACATCTACCTGCAGGAGCTCACAGAGGAGAACCAGGTAGAACTTAGACAGGCTCTGTCAGGTGTTCTTGTCTGTGTCCTGGTTATGGGAGTGGAGATGACTGTGTGGAACCGGCTCAGAGAGTCAGACTCAGAGTCTGCAGCTTGTGGTGACAGATGAACTGCTAATAAACAGTGCCTGATCCCCCGACCCCCCAGCACCAACACAGGGAGAAGCCCACCAGGTCTGAGGTGCCCTGAGAGTGAGACCCCCGCACTGTGCGGTACCTTAGCTGAAACCTGCATGCTGTTGTCCTGCATCGTCATGATGGCCTCAGAGATCTTAACATCGATGGGTTCCATAACGGCCTCAATGTTAAAGGGGCCTTCCAGTCGCTCGGCAACCAGCAGCATCGCGTCTAGAACACACACAGAAAGAGAGAGAGAGAGAGAGAGAGAGAGACATTAACAAACAGTGTCTGACTGACTCTGAGTAGAACAGACTCAGAGAACCAGCAGAACAGACTCAGAGAACCAGCAGAACAGACTCAGAGAACCAGCAGAACAGACTCAGAGAACCATGTTCCCCTCATTTGTATGTCCACCTGTCTGCCTGTTTTTCTGTCCCCCATCTGTCCATCCACCCATCTGTCCACCAGTGTGTCTGCCCACTTTATCTATCTGTCTACTTTCCCTGTCTACTTCGGCCACCTGTCTGTCTGTTTCCTGTCCATCTTGTCTATCTGCTCATCTGTATGTCTCCTGTCCACATTGTCTAGCTGTCCACCGGGCTGTCTTCCTGTCCCCTGTGTTTATGTGTCCACCTGTCTCTCTCTCTGTTATCTTTGTTCATCTGTTTGTCTATTTTTCCACCATTTCTATCTGCATGTCTCCCTGTCCCTCCTGTCTGCCCATCCACCTGTTTGTTTATCTGTCTGTCTGTCCACCTTATTTGTCTGTCTCCGTGTCCACCTCGTCTATCTTTCCACCTGTCTGTCTGTCAGTCCCCCTGTCCACTGTGTTTATCTGTCTGTCTGTCTGTCTCTCCTCCTGATTAGTGTGCTGTGTGTTACAAAGAGCTAATCATGTGAAGCTGCTGTGTTTTGTATAGTCTGTAATGGACTCTGTCTCTCTGTCTCTCTCTCTGTCTCTTTCTCTGTCTCTGTCTCTCTCTCTGTCTGTCTCTCTGTGTCTCTCTCTCTGTCTCTTTCTCTGTCTGTCTCTCTGTCTCTTTCTCTGTCTGTCTCTCTGTTTCTCTCTGTCTCTTTCTCTGTCTGTCTCTTTCTGTCTGTCTCTCTGTTTCTCTCTGTCTCTCTCTCTGTCTGTCTCTCTGTCTCTCTCTCCCTGAACGCTGCAGTCCTCTCAGACTGAACGCTGTGATGATCATTTCACGCAGGGCTGAAATATAATGTGTCAATTCAATTATGAGCAGACAGGTTCTCCTCTCCATGTTTCTGTATTGCTGTGTATATTTAAATTGTCAGGAAACATATTGTTCCTCACGGCGCTGCGTCCCGGCGTCCCGGCGTCCCGGCGCTCCACAGACGGGGCGTCTCACGCATGCAAATCATCTTCCAGACGATCCGTGAAATAAATCACTGCAGCAGGAAAACCGTACACATCTCCCCACACGCTCCGCCGCCTGATCACCGCACAACCGCCAGGCAAGACGCGGGATTACAGCACTCGTCTCCTTTCAGTCCTCACATGTCTCACACTGTCTCACGGCCTGTCACGCTGTCTCACACTGTCTCACGGTCTGTCACACTGTCTCACACTCTCTCACACTGTCTCATGCTGTCTCACACTCTCTCACACTGTCTCATGCTGTCTCTCGCTCTCTCACACTGTCTCATGCTATCTCTCGCTCTCTCACACTGTCTCACGGTCTGTCACACTGTCTCATGCTCTCTCACACTGTCTCACGGTCTGTCACACTGTCTCACACTCTCTCACACTGTCTCATGCTGTCTCACACTCTCTCACACTGTCTCATGCTGTCTCTCGCTCTCTCACACTGTCTCATGCTGTCTCTCGCTCTCTCACACTGTCTCACGGTCTGTCACGCTGTCTCATGCTCTCTCACACTGTCTCACGGTCTGTCACACTGTCTCACACTCTCTCACACTGTCTCATGCTGTCTCTCGCTCTCTCACAATGTCTCATACTGTCTCTCGCTCTCTCACAATGTCTCACGGTCTGTCACGCTGTCTCATGCTCTCTCACACTGTCTCACGGTCTGTCACACTGTCTCACACTCTCTCACACTGTCTCATGCTGTCTCTCGCTCTCTCACACTGTCTCTTGCTGTCTGTCACTGTTTCTTGCTGTTTCACAGTCTCATGCTGTCTCTCTCTCACACTGTCTCCTGATCTCACACTCACTGTTTCTCACGCTGTCTCACACTCTCTCACACCATTTCATTCATATCAATCGTGATAAAATTATGTACTTCATAAAGATTCCAGAGAGCTTCTTCAGACCGTTAGTTAGAAGAAGCTGTGAGTTTACAGTGACCGGAGCTTTCGTGGCTGACCTTTCCTCTAAAACAGTCAACGGTTTAAGTGTTCTGGTAGATGGACACAGCCTCGTTAACAGAGTCACGCCCTGATGCTCCGTTAGGACTCAGTCTGGACAGAGGTTAGTCAGGTCAGTGTGAGCCTAACACCTGTCCAGATTATCGCCGGATTACCGTCCGCACTCCACCAATAAAGACATCCTCAAATCGTTCAGCCAATCAGAGCGCAGTGTAGATGTTACACTACACAGTGTGGTGCTGTCATTATTCATTATGATCAGATACAGCCTGGAACACATCGCCATCTTCACTGCTCCAGAACCCTCACAGTGGACAGAACGTGTTCATGACCTGCTCCATACGGAGATGCACCTGCTGATGGATCATGTGATCAGTTATCGATCCATATTCATACATCACAGTCAGATTACAACACCATTCGACCTAGAAACGGTCATCAAAATACACCTCAACCACTCGTCTTCTATATATGTAGCCCCTCCCCCTTTCTACAGACCCCTCCCTCGGCCCAAGACCCCACCTCTTTTCAGACTCCTCCCCTTTTCCCCAGACCCCTCTCTCTGCCCAAGACTCATTTTCCAGGTTCCTCCCCATCCAGATTCTCCTTTCTTCCTCACACTCCGCCCATCTTCAGGCTCCTCCTCCTGTCCAGAATGTTCATATTCCAGTGTCCAGCATCTCTGTATCTCTCTCTCTCTCTGTCCCTCACTCTCTGTATCTCTCTCTCTCCTCTCTCTCTCTCTCTCTCTCTCTGTTCTCTCTCTCTGCGTGGGCGGTCAGTGCTGAGAGTGGACAGGGCGTGTGGTTTTGGTCATGAAAGCTCTGTTATTAATTTGGGCTGGTGGTGAAGACGTCACTGAGAGCTGATATCGATCAGTCGCTCCGCATAAACGAGTGCAGAGGGAGAGCATCTCTTCATTTACACTCTATCACTTCTCCTGCTCTCCGCTCAACTACAACTGCCTGCAGGTGTCTCTCGCCCATTTACTACACAGGGAGAGAGAAAGAAAATAGAGAGACAGAGATCGTGAGAGAAAAAACAGAATAGAGAGAATAGTGAGAGAGAAAATACAGAGAAATACAGAGGAAATAGAGAGAGAGAGAGAGAGAGAGAGGGAGAGGAAATAGAGAGAGAGAGAGAGAGAGAGAGAGAGGAAATAGAGAGAGAGAGAGAGATAGAGGAAATAGAGAGGGAGAAATTGAGAGGAAATAGAGGGAGAGAAATAGAGAGGAAATAGAGAGAGATAGTGAGAGAGGAAATAGAGAGAGAGAGAGAGAGAGAGGAAATAGAGAGAGATAGTGAGAGAGGAAATAGACAGACAGAGAGAAAGAGAGAGAAAGGGGTAAATAGGAATTGAGATAGAGAGAGAAGATACACACAGAGAGAATAGAGAGAATAGAGACAGAGATTGTGAGAGAAGAAACAGAATAGAGAGAATAGTGAGAGAGGAAATACAGAGAAATACAGAGGAAATAGAGAGAGAGAGAGAGAGAGAGAGAGAGAGGAAATAGAGAGAGAGAGAGAGAGAGAGAGAGAGAGAGAGAGAAAGAGAGGAAATAGAGAGAGAGAGATAGAGGAAATAGAGAGGGAGAAATTGAGAGGAAATAGAGGGAGAGAAATAGAGAGGAAATAGAGAGAGATAGTGAGAGAGGAAATAGAGAGAGAGAGAGAGAGAGAGAGAGGAAATAGAGAGAGATAGTGAGAGAGGAAATAGACAGACAGAGAGAAAGAGAGAGAGGAAATAGAGAGAGAGAGAGAGAGAGAGAGAGGAAATAGAGAGAGATAGTGAGAGAGGAAATAGACAGACAGAGAGAAAGAGAGAGAAATCGTAAGAGGAAACAGAGAGAAAGGGGTAAATAGGAATTGAGATAGAGAGAGAAGATACACACAGAGAGAATAGAGAGAATAGAGACAGAGATAGTGAGAGAGGAAATAGAGAGAGAATAGAGGGCTGTGAAGGAGGGAGTGAGGTGTTTGTGACTGAAGGACAGGAAGGAGGAGGGTCACTAACAGGAAGTGTAATTAAAGCTAAGCTAGACTGACCACAGAAAAGGTCAGTCCAAACCACACAGGCTCCACACAGGAACCTCACAGCTGACCTTCTGCAGAGCAACAGACCAGTGCTTTATCTTCTGTCCAGTCTGGACCAGTCCACTCACCGATCACAGCCCAGTCTGGACCGGTCCACTCACCGGTCACAGCCCAGTCTGGACCGGTCCGCTCACCGGTCACGGCCCAGTCTGTACTGGTCCGCTCACCGGTCACGGCCCAGTCTGGACCGGTCCGCTCACCGGTCACAGCCCAGTCTGTACTGGTCGGCTCACTGGTCACAGCCCAGTCTGGACTGGTCCGCTCACCGGTCACAGCCCAGTCTGCACTGGTCCGCTCACCGGTCACTTCATTAAACTGAACTGAAGGAATCTCACTGCCTCGCCAGCAGCTCTACAGATCAGCTCAGAGAGGGAGCTTCATCTGAGATACGAGAGAGAACCTCGGAGAACTTTAAACCTGCAGAGTGGACAGGTGGTGGCTGTGACCAGCTCTCTAGAGTCCATTTAGTGTCTGTTCTGCTCCCACTAATCGGTCTGGACCCTCAGAATCGGCTCTTGATGGTCTGCAGTGATTCAGCTGCTTCTGCAATGAAAGAGTCTTTAAAGCGGTCAGGAAAGGCTGAGCGCTGTAGCCTTGACTGGACGTGGCCTTCACTTCAGTCTGAGCTGCTGTACACAGTCTGAGAGCTGCAGCTGAGCTAGAACCTTCAGAACCTTTCAGTTCTGACTAAACAAATGAATAAAACTCCAGAATGTTCCTCTAATCAGTAACACTGCTGAACGTCCACCACCTGAAGATCAGCCTTTCCTTATTTAGCTACACACACA